TTTTTTTTTTTTTTGTCTTGATTGGCATAAAGGAAAAGAGATATGTATGAGCCACAAAGGATAAGCAGTGAGGGGATGACAAGAAAAGAAGACCAAAGAGGTGGGTACGTAGCCTATCTCTTCTAATATTTTTTAAATCATTTTTTTATGCAGCAATAATTCTAAGCACTTTTTAACTAAAAAATTGTCTAATAATGTGACTTGAGAGAGTAAACTATAAATATATATTTTTTATAATATATTTGTCACTCCACATCATGTACTTCGTCATCAATTTCTACTTCCACGCCATTTATACTGTCATTAAATTAATATATAAATGATACTGTAATATAAATGTTAAGAGTCAATTTTTTATTTATTTATTTATTTTTGTATACATGCCTCGTCCAATTTCGAAACTAGTATTATTTATGTGTTCTTTTTCAATAATATTGTAGCTTAACTGCCACTTTTTTTTTTTCTTAAAAAAAAAAAATGTTCATCAGTGTCCCAATATTGAGGCTCTCTTACTTTCACAGGTATACTTCACAACTTATTACATTCATGAGTCGGGGCGAGCTCTCGATATCCAAGCTTTAGCTCAATCTCGCTCGTTTTATGTACTTATGTGAAAATGGTCATTTATCAGGCCTAACAAACCTAGTTCGTTTACAAAACAAGTTTTAAACGAGTTCGAGCTATGCTAGAAAGTCTTTTTTTCGTATTTCTTAAACATAAATGCAAATCAATAGAGTTCTAAGTGTACCTACATTTTTTTATTATTATTATTATTATTATTATTATTATTATTATTATTATTATTATTCTTATATTATTATTATTTATTTATTTAAGTAGTAAATGGTGAAGAATATTACTTACTTAGGGCTTGATTGTTTATGAAATAATTTGTTCAAAATGAGTTATTTTGGTTAACCATAGTTAATTTTAAAAAGGTGGTATAGTTAGTTGTTGGTGGAATTTTAAGAATGTATTAAAATAATATTTAAAATAAAATGATTAAAATTGTTTTGTTGTAAAAGTAAAAGATAAATGATTGGAAATGATTGGAAATGATAGGTAGTTAAATTATGTGAGTGGATGAATAGTGAATTAAAGTTGATGTGATGTGTAAGAATGATTGGTTTGTATTATTTAATTATATGAATAATATTAAAGATAGTGGAGTTGAGTTAAAGTTGAGTTAAATTTTAAGTTGAATTAAAAGTGAGTAAATTAACTTGTAAACAATCAAGCCCTTAAAAACGGTTAGTTAGATATTCATCCATTAGTAGATAGGGGTGGGGTCCGTGTCGAACCTAACTCCACCAGTTCATGTTACTTTATTTTATTACTACTCATTTGTACCTTATTATTGATCGAGAATAACCAAATTAACAATGAGGATTCCAGCTGAAAGTAGTCACACACCATCATGCTTACTCCAATATGTTGTAAATTGGAGTCCTCTATATTCATCAAATATCCATCAATCAACCAAATATGTAAAATATGTAG